CCAGTGCTGTAACATGTTTGCTTTTGAAAATCATGGCTGACCTTGACATAAATAAGTTCATACTTTGGTTCGATTCATGTGTACCACAAAACCGCAATAGTTTCATGTCAGCAGCTTTGTGTGAATTTATAATACGATACCCACAAATAAAAGTAATTGAACAGAAGTTCTGCGAGCCAGGTCATTCCAGCATTCAAGAATGTGACAACATTCATAGTCAGATTGAAAAATCCCTCTCTGCTGCAGAAATATTTAGTCCACTTGGGCTAGAAAGAGCTATTAAAAATGTAAACCGTAAAAAACCTTTCTGTATTTACCAAATGCAATTAGGAGATGTAAAGAATTTTTCAGTTGTCGCTGGTTTGTCAAGTTATAAGTTAGTGCCTTATTCAAAGGTTAAAAATCTTGTTTATCGAAACGGACTACCATACCATGTTTTTTTTAAAACCTCGTTTTCAGATAATTATTCACAAGCTCGTATAAATAAGTCTGTCAAGAAAGCAGCATCAACCATTGTTGCAAAACCATTAAATACCAATATACCAATGGCAGCTTGCTTTCGTGCTTCTTATCAGTCTATATCTGTTGCAAAAGCTAATGATATCATTTCCATGTATTCATACATACCTGCTGTTGATATTGCATTTTATAAAACAATAATAAATTGAACATTTACAAAACATTAATAAAGTCAAAATATTTTTAGGGTTGTTATATGTTTAGTATAAATATAAATAACATATTTATTTATATATAATAATATAAATAATATACATATAAATAACATATTTAAATAAAATATTTATTTAGTATAAATATAAATATAAAACACATTGAAATAATATTATTTTGAAATCTTGATAAAAATTTTTGTTTAGATTGTGTTTTTTTTGTTTTTTTTTTGTATTTTTATATTCATTTTCCCCCACTTGTTTGGTTTGGATGGTTTTCCATAGTGACATAAAGGCCACTATGAAAGAGTTAAAGCAATGTTTCACAACCTGATGCCCTTCCTGACGTTAACTTGAGTAACAATTTTTTATTTGTAAATATTTGCAATAACTTTTAATAAAAAGTTAAACTCTATTAATGGATACACAGCCATAAGAAAAATAAAATCAAGTTCATCTTGCATGGAGTTTGTGATTAGATTAGTTGAATTGTTGTGAATTATCAGATTACATAATGTAATCTGATAATTCACAGTGAAATATCAGTTACATAATGTTATTTCTTTTATTATTACATTTTTTTTAACATAACTCTTTCCTATATACCTTTCATAATTTATTTTATACGTTTATATTATATTAATACGTTTATATTATTATTACGCAGCCAAATTTTTCGTTTTAAATTAGACGTCTTAGTCTTGTCCAGGGCCGGCGCCTACAGGTAATTAATGTAAATGTAAGTCGTAAGAACAGTGTCGTTAGAGGCTCTTCTAAAAGTTCTCCTAATTAGGGCCTCATTTTACAGGGGTGGGACCGCAAAATGTGAACGTTTTTGTTTTTATATAACTATTTTCTCGTTAGATGTAGTTGAGTTTATTTGATAAAAAACGAAAGACAAAGTACTAATGAATATGTAAACAAAGTAAAATATAATATGTAAAAAAACAAAAATTGAATATTTAAAATAGTTCATATTTAACAGAAAATTAATTATTACAATCAGAAAAGTGTTCACATTTTGCGGTCCCACCCCTGTATTTAAAAAAACTTAATTTTTTAGGTAATACAAAAAGCGTCTTATATTTTGAAAAGGGTCCCGTTAAATTAGGGGCCCATGCCCCTAATTTAGGGGCCCATGCCCATAAATTTAGGAGTGTATGGTACTGCGTAAGAATAATTAGCAGGTAGAACAAAATTTCATCAATCTCTAACATGTCGTTGTTGAAAAATGTACTTAATATGTTTAATATATATGATGTAACAACATAATATTTTTGAATTTTTCTAAAAACCAAAGTTATTTTGTTTTATCTCCAAAAGAGGATGCGAAAAAAAGGGCGTTAGCGTAATTTTAAAAAGTTTTTTTTATCTAAAAATTAATAATAAAACATTTTTAAATCTTAGGAAATACCTAAATTCTCAAAATATTTTTTCAATTTAGCTGCGAACAAATTCAAACTTTGACATCGATTTTCTCAGTTTGCAAAAACATGGAGATAGCACAAGATAATTCTAACGTCGCGATATTCCAAATGGCAATTTGCAACTATGTAGTATACCCAGACTGATTCTCACGTTGGACTGAAGTAGCATAAACTGAAACAAACTTGAACAATAACATATTTGTAACGCACTTCAGGAGATGGAGGACCATAGTTTAGTTCTTACGAAATGAATTTTTTTGAATTTGTTTTATTTCAGAAATAAAATATTTAAGTAAAATAACAATTGATTAGTAGAGTTTTTGTTTTTAAAAAAAATGTTAAAATATTTTATGAAGAGGTGATAACCAATCCCCTCTATGCTGAAAGGTCATTTCAGAAAATGACCGAAGATGCTCTTTTTCCATCTATATGATTTTTAAAGGCATTTACGGATTGAGCCCTGATCGCATTCGGCGCGAGTGCGTTCCAAGGGTTTACCACTCTGTTAGTGAAGAATTGAGCTCTTTCTTCATAATTATTAACGTTTTGTCTTTCCAATCGTTGGTTATGGCCCACGTAAATTGTGCGTTGATAGAGATGGTGCAAGTTGTTGTTTATGAAAAAACGAAACTACTTCGAAACCGTTTTGTATTCTGAAATTTTGAATGAGATCTCCCCTTGTCCTACGGGTTTCTAGTGTTGTAATACCGAGTTTCTGAAGACGAGTTTCGTACGAATCATTCTTGATTTCTGTGATGAGTTTAGTTGCCCTGTGCTGAACTTGTTCGAGTTTTTCGATATCTTTCCTGAGATGGGGAGACCACGCTTGAATTGCGAATTCCAAGTGCGGTCTCGCGTACGTTGTGTATAGGGTTTTCCATAGTACTAACCCTCGACTGCGAAAAGCTTTTTTGAGTCTACCTAACATGCTGTTAGCCCTTGGTGAAGCTGATTCAACTTGTTGACAAACTTTCAAGTTGTCGGATACTAGAACTTCTAGGTCTCGCTCAAGTGTAGTTGTTTCTAGATTATGTACGATTCCATTTCTGCCTGTCATCGCATACAGTTGTGTAGATTTATTTTTAGAAATGAAACCCTTTTTAAATGATTGGAGCATTTATTGAGAAAAAATATTAGCCAAAGTAGATTGTTAACTACTAACGAAGTAGAAAGAAAACAATTGTTATGCAGAGGTACACCGGCTCAAGATAGTGGAGCATCACTAGCCGAATGATTGTTTGGGAGAACTATTATAGACAACTTATTAAACCTTGATCTCTTCTAAGTTACAACAAAAAGTCGCTACTTTTTTTTGGAGGTAAGACAAGGAAAGAAGGAGGAGGGAGGTGTGGAGAAGAGTTAGCATGTCTGACTGATTGTGACAAAAGGGAGATGAGGGGGATGGAATATGTGACATACCTTACCAAAGAGCTATTATAGGTTAGAGTTCAAGTTTTTTCAAAATTCCAAAGTGCGTATTTATATAAAAGGTTTCATCTCAATATATATTTGCAATATTTAAAATCTTTTAAGTTACGCACATAGTGTCCTCATTAAAAAAATAGCTAAGTGCTGATTTTTACAATATTTTTGCTATTTTACAGTTCAAGTGATCGTTATTTGTTATTCTTATATATTTATTATTATTATTATTATTAATTTTATTGGCATTTTTATTATTATTTGAATAATATTATTTTTATAAACTATTATTATTACTATTATTACTATATACTAAATGCTATTTGAAAGTACATATATTTGTTCTGAATGTTTAATAAAAACCATATAGATTGATTTTACGAAGAAAAGTGCATATATGTACTTTTATGTGTGTATATATATATATATATATATATATATATATATATATATATATATATATATATATATATATATATATATATATATATATATATATATATATATGTATATATATATATATATATATATATATATAAATATATATACATATATATATATATATGTATATATATAAATATATATATATATATATATATATATATATAAATATATATATATATATATATATATATATATATATATATATATATATATATATATATATATATATATATATATATATATATATATATATATATATATATATGTATATGAGTATTAACATATATACCATAACATTCAGCATATCGATAAGTGAATAGCGCTGATAAAAATATTGATGATTTATTTAAAGTTGTTATATTTTACAATAAGTGAAGACAAAATAAAAAAAGTATAAGACTCGACGTTTAGTTTTTTTTAAGAAGTTATTTGATAATTTTTTTTGTTTGTTTCTGTCTGGTTTTCTGTCAGCAAAAATGAAAATATATTTTTGAAAAGTCAAGATCTTTTTTCCTTAGAATCAGTTCAGGAATTTGTTGCAAATTTTCTTCAAGAGTTTAATACACTTGACATCTTGATAAACAATGCAGGTATAATGTTGTCACCATATTGGAAAACAAAAGAGGGATTTGAAATGCAGATTGGTGTCAATTATTTTGGTCATTTTTTTAAAACCAATTTACATGTTAAAAAAAGAGGGTCATGGAAGAATTATAAATGTTCACGAGTGCATGGCTATGGTAGTATCAATTTTGATGATATTAATTCTGAAAAGAGTTCTAATAGTGTAAAAGCAAACTGGCTAACATTCTTTCTACTAAAGAACTGCAGAGCAAGTTAGTAAATACCAATCTTACCACTTATTCTTTGCATCTGGGTTTTGTTAAAAAAGATCTAGGTTGTTATGGATTACTTACAAAAATTTTTTATGCTACTGCTGGTAGTTTGGTTGCAAAAACCTCCCAACAAGGCGACCAAACTTCTATTTACTGTGCTACTAAAGAAGGGTTAGAAGAACATGCAGGTAAATACTTTGCAGAATGCAAAGTATCACTAACTTCTAATTCTGTGTGTGGTGATGAAGTACAGACAAAAAGATTATGAGACCTAAGTGAAAAAATAACTGGTACAGTATTTGAACTTTAAGTTGTTCTATTTTATAATAATTTTGCTAAGACTTTTTGTTTATTGTGTCATTTTTATTATATATATATATATATATATATATATATATATATATATATATATATATATATATATATATATATATATATATATATATATATATATATTAAGGTGGTTCAAAAAACAACATTTTTGAAAAAATTCTGCTCCTACCCCCTAAATGTGTTCTATTTAATACAAAAACACTAGGTTTAATTTTTTTTTGAATCAAAAATATTTTTAGGGGTGTCGCCAGACCCTCGAATATTTACCGGGTCCCTAATATTTTCAAAAAAAAAGTTACTCAAAAATAGGTCAACCTGGTACTCAAATGAAGTGAAATTATATAAAAATTTCAAAATTAATATTCATTTTGAAAAATAAATTGATGTTTAAACTTATTTATCAAAATTATCATGCAAAATTCACTTTTTTTATTTTTTGCTAAAAATCATGATTTTTTATGTAATAAAACTTAATATAACAATATTTTATTTAAATGAATATTATTTTTGAAATTTTTATATAATTTCACTTCATTTGAGTACCAGGTTGACCTATTTTTGAGAAACATTTTTTTTATATTAGGGACCCGGTAAATATTCGAGGGTCTGGTAAATATTAGGGACCCGGTAAATATTCGAGGGTCTGGCGGCACCCCTAAAAAAATTTTTAGATTTTTTTTTAAATTAAACCTTGTGTTTTTGTATTAAATAAAACACATTTAGGGGTTAGGAGCAAATTTTTTTCAAAAATGTTGTTTTTTGAACCACCCTAATATATATATATATATATATATATATATATATATATATATATATATATATATATATATATATATATATATATATATATATATATATATATATGTATATATATATATATATATATATATATATATATATATATATATATATATATATATATATATATATATATATATATATATATATATATATATATACATACATAAGAAACTTTTATAGAGAACGAAAAGTACATACATCAACTATTAAATAGCCAGACTCACAAAGGAGTGCTGCTACATTGACTGAGAGTTTGGTTAGGCCAGACATCAATGTCAGGGTTAGAGTTGTGGCAAGGTTTAAATTTGGTTATATTATTGTAATTAATTGTTTTTAGAAATTGATGAACTTAAAAATGAAATATAATATAAAATAAATAAATGAAAATAACAAAGTAACATAAAAAACATATTTTTATAATAAAATAATAAATTTAAATATTTATAAATAAAGATAGAAATTAAATAAAAGTTAAAAAATATATATAAATATGATAAAAATAGTATAAAAAAGTAAAACAAATAACAGAACGGGAACAAAAAACACATTTCCCCAAAAGTCACAACTAGGATATATATATATATATATATATATATATATATATATATATATATATATATATATATATATATATATATATATATATATATATATATATATATATATATTATATACATGTAAAACTTTAAACAAGATAAAAAATAACAAATAAACTAATTTATATATATGTATGTATATATATATATATATATATATATATATATATATATATATATATATATATATATTATATATATATATATATATATATATATATATATGTATATATACATAAATATATATCTATATATATATATATATACATAAATATATATATATATATATATATATATATATATATATATATATATATATATATATATATATATATATATATATATATATATATATATATATATATCATAAATATATATATATATATATACATAAATATATATATATATATATATATATATATATACATAAATATATATATGTTTTTTTTTGTTTTTTTTTAACTTTTCTTCGCTTCCAACAAGGCTGCAAGCAACCACTAATTAGTGTTGGAAGTTACTGGAAGAGAAAAGATGAAGATTGTAGAGCAAGATAACGATTGACAGACGACTTAAAAGATTGCAAATTATATGAATCAGGAAAGCAAGATGAAGGAAGCGAATTCCAAAGAACTGATGTTGGAGGAAAAAAACTAAACGAATAAGAGTTTTTGGAGCACTTAGGAACTGTAACAGAAAAAGGATGATACTTAATTGAATGACAAGTAACACGAGAATGAATTTTAGTAGATGGCACAAGAGACGCTGGCTCTTTCGAGCAGTGCTCATTATAGTATTTGTAGAAAAGAGAAAGAGAGCAACATTACGAAGATGTGACAGAGGTTGAAGGTTGGCTGCAAGAGCAGGTCCAACTATGTTTACAATGGGTTTTTGCACCTTGTCTAAAAGAGAAAGGGCATCATTAGAAGATCCGTCCCAGATATGGCAACAGTATTCCATACAAGGCCGGATTTGAGATTTATAGAGATAGAGAATAGAATCCAGAGTAAGAAAACGACGAGCTCGATAAAAAGAAGCAACTTTAGCAGAGGCTAATTTTGCAACGGATTTGGTATAAGGTTTCCAAGAAAGATCAGAAGAAAGAGTTAATCCTTGAAGATGAAGGGTAGGAGACTCATCGAGTACATTACCGTTCATAAATATAGGAAGGTCTAAACTATTGCGATAACAATTGGCCGAAAAAAAGTTTTATCTGAATTAAAGTTCACCAGCCGCTGTGAGCCCCATGCTGTAGCAGAAGTGAGATCCTTTTCAAGCTCAGATGCCCCCTGCAAGCAATCAGAGGGAGTTAGCTTCTTATCGTGACAAAAATAAATGGTAGTATCATCAGCGAACAATGCCACCTTAGATGTGAGAATATCTGGAAGATCGTTAATGTAAATTAAAAAGAGTATAGGGCCAAGGATTGAACCTTGAGTAACCCCTGAGGTTACAGAATAAGAAAAAGAGTGCTGTCCATCAAGGACAACTTTTATACTACGATTGGAAAGGAAGGATTCAATAGTCTTAAAGATGTTTCCAGATACACTGTAAAATGAAAGCTTATGTAGAAGACCAGTATGCCAAACTTTATCAAATGCTTTAGAAATGTCAAGAGCAATGGCCTTATTCTCTCCACCTTTATCTAATGTGCAATAAAACCTATCGGTTATTACTGATAGCAAATCAGTCGTAGAACGAGAAGATCGAAATCCATATTGATGATCAGAAAGTAGGTTATGAGATTCGAGATGAGAGATTAAGTGTTTGTTAATTAAAGATTCAAAAACCTTGCTTATGATAGGAAGAAGATTAATGGGACGGTAGTTAGACGAATCGGATCGCTCTCCAGAATTTTTAAAAATAGGGATACCAGATGCTGCTTTCCAGCTGGCTGGAAAACAAGACTCTGATAAGCACTTGTTAAATAGTTTTGAGAGGATAGACGACAGCTCCGGAGAACACTTCTGCAAGACTATAACAGATATGTTGTCTGGGCCGCAAGCTGTGGAAGAGTCTAAGTGGGAATTCACTTTAGATACAGAAGCTGGCGTGATACGAATGTCAAGCAATGGATCAACCTATTTGATGGCTATATCAGGTAGAACGCAACTAGTGGCATCAAGAGATGATATTGATGAAAAGTTCTTGGTAAACAATTCAGCTTTGTCTTTAGGTGAGGTGACAATGTCTGAACCATACAAAAGAGGTGGAATTACAGACTTGCCCTTATTATTGATACTATTAAAGATTCTCCAGAAGTCACAAGAGCCTAATTTTTGTGATGAAATACGATATTTCATGATCTGAGAATAGCAAGCTTTGGCATTAGACAAAACCTTTTTACAATGGTTCCTAGCAGTAATTAACAGACGTCTGTTTTCTGGAGAACTGTTTTGCTGATAGATTTGGAAGTAATGGTTTCGAATGGCAATTGCAGCAGCACAATTGCCATTCGAAACCATTACTTCCAAATCTATCACACCAGGTCTAGCCTCACTCTTCTCCATGGTTTTTCTTCTCCAAAACCATGGAGAAGAGTGAGGCTAGACCTGGAATCGTCGAGAGGGAATAAAGAATCCACGAAGTTATGTAAGCACATTTGTCAACAGGGAGATGAAAGATTTCTACCCAGGGGCCATCACGAAGAAAATCACGGAAAGAGTCCCAGTCAGCTTTAAGGTAGTTGTAAGATGTATGATGATAGGGGGATTCTGATGGTTAAGAAGAATGAGATAATAGTTTTAAAGAGACCAAACCATGATCAGAAGCACCTAAGGGTGAGTGGGAAGAAACTGAGCACTGACTAAGATCAGAAACAAGACATAAGTCGAGTAGAGAAGGTAAATGATTCGGGTTGTCTAAAAAGCGAGTTGGAAAGTTGACTATTTAAGTTAGGGATTGAGAAAGACAAAAGTTGTGGGCCTTAATGCCTGCAGAGTCACTGACACTAGAGCCAAGCCATTCAGTGTGATGAACATTAAAGTCACCGACAACAACAATATTGACTGATGGATAAAGAATGAGGGCTTGGTCAATATAATCAGAAATAACATCAAGAAGAGTGCAGTCTTGAGATGAGGGAGAGCGATATAGAACAAAGATAAAGGTGATAGAGTGAAGTGGTGCTAAACGAAAGCACATAAAAGAGTAGTCTGTGGATTCAAACCTAGTTTCCCGACAAATGGGTGAATTCTTACAAATGTAAATTCCTAGGCCAAGCATGTGACTATTGGAGTCTTTACGAATTAAAGGAAGATAATCATCAATACTAAGATCACATGATGAGACAGCTTAACTCAAATTAGTCTCACAAAGAGCAAGTAGGTCTGGTGAACTTTGCAAGAGATAAGACTCAACAGAAGAAAAGTTACTTCGAAGACCACGAATATTGGTGAATGATAGGTTTAGCGAACTTGGTGATGACTGTGGTTTTTGTGTTTTATAGTTTTTGTTACTTTATTCATTTTTAAATTTGTTAAAAAACTTGACTCGAAACATAGATAGTACTCAGTACACTGTTTTATAGCCCAAGCAATTCCTCATTTCCACTAATAAACCCTAAGCCGTAACAAAGGGCTTCAATGTGGCCTTGGCAATGCACACCAAAAGTACAAACAGGGACACCATCCATGTGCATCATGGCACTGTTAGTACTCTGATATTTTTCAGCTGTTGATGGAATCAGCCTCTCTGAGAGCTACCACAGAGTTCAGGAAACCTGACTACCAGCCGGCCTCAGAACCATAAAACTGAGTTTTAGAGCTGTACCCTCATTTGGAGATAAAAGAATGAGTTGCCTAGTCATAAAAACAGAGACACAAGCAAAACCCATGAATTGAGTCAAGAAGATCCAGCGTTCAACATCCTAAACTGGAAACAATGTATTAAAAATACATCTGCGCCAGCCTAATAGATGAAGAAGGGGTGCGAGGCTGGTCAACAGATAAAATCTGTTTACCCCTTAAGTCTTTGCCTAGGAGGCCTTCTACAAGACAGCAGCCGGATGCATTTAACATCTGCCCAAGATGAGTATTTTTATCAAGACACCATCTCTAGCCTTTACTCAACCAAGAGCCTCAAGGCAGGGGATGTTTTATGTCGGAGTTCGCATCTCCTAGCCTTTGCCTAAAAAGGCATATCCTACAAGGCAGCAGAACATGCAGCAGATTGTACTGGGTTACATGTTACCAGTAGCAGGATAAACCTGACCATAAATATATATATATATATATATACTACAAGCACAATAGGCGTTTAAAACACTCCAACAAAAAAAAGTAATAGTTCAAATGGTAAAAGTTTTGATAAAAATAATAATGATTTTAGTGTAAAACATTTTAACTAATACATGCTTAACTAATGTATTCATTGAAGTTATGGAATGTTGTTTTTATTAATTTTTATTGGGAGGTATTTGAGGCATACATGGTTGTCTTTGAGTTTCTGCATATTTTTTTTTAATGCAATCTTTTATTTTTTATATACTTGCATTTTTATATACTTGCATTTAGATCATAATAATGAACACAAAAAATATACATATATAATATACACACACACACATACACACACACACACGCACACACACACACACACACATAAGAGTATTTAATATGGATTAAAAAGTTTTGTTATTATTTTTTTAAATATGAAGAGAGTCAGAGGATTTTTTTCTAGTGACTTCTATGGACAAAAACACTTATTTTCCTGGTTTGTTCTCTCTGAGGACGTGATTGCAAAAACTTGCTTAACTGTTACATCGTGTCCTGTATATATAAAATAACATGGAAAACTTCCTTCATAATAATAAAAAATAGTAAAAATAAAATTCTTTAAATTGCTAATTTTCATACTTTTGTTATTATTAAATAAGATAAAATAGATTTTTTTTTTAGTTTTATAAAATGTTAGAAAATCTTGATATCAAGGCAGTTGCTTTTCTTACGATTGTTGTTGGTTTTATCCTTTATAAAAAAATATTCAATGTGTTTTGCAAAGCAACAACGAGGTTGGATGGCAAGATTGTTATAGTTACTGGAGGAAACACAGGCATAGGTAAAGAAACTGTTAAAGACCTTGCAAATAGGGGTGCTACTGTTATAATGGCATGTCGTGATATAAAAAAAGCTGAAGCTGCTCAAGAAGAGATAAAAAAAGAAACTCTAAATGAAAATGTTTTTATAAAGTATTTGGACTTGGGATCTTTAAAATCAATAAACAATTTTGTAATATCATTTTTGAAAGAATTTCATGAACTTCATATTTTGATTAACAATGCTGCCATTGTTTGTCCTTATCAAAAAACTGAAGATGGATTTGAAATGCAGTTTGGTGTAAATCATTTAGGACACTTTGCGTTGACAAATTTGCTTTTAAAGCGTATGGCAGAGACAAAAGGATTAGTTCGGGTAATCAATGTAAGCTCTCATGCTCATTATTTTGGCAAAATAAAATTTGACGATATCAACTCCGAAAAAAGTTATGGATCTCAATCGGCATATGCTCAGAGTAAACTTGCTAATATTATGTTTACAAAAGAATTGCAAAGAAAGCTCTCTAATACAAATATTATAACATTCGCTGTTCATCCTGGGTTTGTACGTACCGAAATAGGAAGGAATTTCTTATTAACTAAAATTTTATTTGCGGTATTCAGTATTTTTGCTAAGAGTCCTAAATTAGGAGCGCAAACGTCAATTTATTGCGCAATTACTGCTGGTCTTGAAAAACATGCTGGTAAATATTTTGCAGATTGCAGCGTGGCAAAAATTCGTAACAAGGTTTGTGATGATGAGGGACAAACAAAAAAGTTATGGGAGATAAGTGAAAACATGACGAAAATATCTTTTCCTCTTTGAATTAATTAAAACCTTATTTTAGTAACTTTATTAACTTTTTTTAATTTAAAATTATTTAGTTTATAACTTGTGAGTGTTAACAATATTGTATATTATTTTTGTTGTAATAAATAAAAGTAATTTTTAGAACTTAGTTTTCAGTAACGTGTTATTGCGTCATTAAATAAATTATTTAACTATGTGCATTATTTTTATTAAATTGACAGTTTAATCTCAAAATTAATTTTAAAATTGTGCAATAATATAATATAATAGAAAGCTCTAGTAGTTCGAAAATTACGAGTGAAGTTAATAGTAATTAATTTCACTTTGCCAGCATATACACTGTGTAGTTATTCTAGGTAAATAAATTAAATTATAAATTACAAATCATATAGCTCTAGATATTTTTCAATGCGAGTTTTGAATAAGTTCAAGTTTTCGCTTTTGGTGACAAAATCTGGTAGTTTGTTCTGCATTGATGAGACTCTATTAGTTAAAAATTGATGACGAATATTGCAGTTATGGCTGATGTGGCACCTTGTGTTGCGCTGATATGATGTAAAAATATTATAATCTAGTTAGTGTTTGATATTTGTGATTAATAAGGTGAAAATAGTTATAGAAGACTTCAGGGACCAAATCATTTTTGAGTTTAAACAAAAATATTATAATCTATGAATTAAGTCGCCTCTTTTACGTCTTTTTTTCAGTGAGCTTAAGCCAAGTATTTTAATTCTTGTTTCGTAACTTTGTTTTCGAATCTGGCGTATCCATTTAGTGGCGTAACTTTGAACTTTTTCAAGTGCAATAATATCACTTTTAATGTATGGGCACCATGGCTGTATCGCAAAATCAAAATGGAGTCTTATAAATGTTACGTATGATCTTACACATTTTTTTGTTGATGTAAAGAAAGAAAAAAATGTGTAAGATCATACGTAATTATGATCTTCTATTCCAGATTTCGCAATTTTATAATAAAACTGATTTTGATTATATAGAGACGATGGCTTAGCCGTATTTAAAAACGCAAGCGGTCCAAAAATGGAAAAAATTAAGAAGCATTTTACTCAAATATTTAAACGAAACAACTTCAGTATTTCCATTCAATCTAATATGAAAATTGTTAATTACCTTGATGTTACATTTAATCTTAATAACAACACTTTTCAACCTTACCATAAACCTGATAGTACGTTAAATTATATCCATGCTAATTCCAACCATCCACCAAGCATTTTAAAACAATTACCAGTCTCAATTGGACATAGGTTATTTTCCAATTCTTCAAGCGAAGAAATATTCCAAAAGACTGCTCCAATTTATAATGACGCATTAGAAAAGTCTGGATTTCGCACCATTCTCCAATATCATTCAAATCTAAATTCTTCTATTACTAATAAACGAAAAAGAAATATTATATGGTTTAACCCTCCTTACAGTAAAAATGTGATAACAAAAATTGGACATCTTTTCTTAAGCTTAATTGACTTGCATTTTCCATTACATCATAAGCTCCACAAAATATTCAACAGAAACACAATAAAAATTAATTACAGCTGCATGCCAAATATTCGATCAATAATTAATTCATACAACCAACAAATTTTGCGCAACAAACTTACCGATAATGATATAAACTGTAACTGCATTAATAAAACCACACGCCCGTTAAATAATCTATGTTTATCAAAAAATGTTGTATATAAGGCCACTTTAGAATCACCTAATACCAGTCTTACCAAAAAATCCTACATCGGAATTAGTGAAAACACATTCAAGCTCAGATTTGCAAACCATCTTAAATCATTTAATGCAACCAGGTATAGGAATGATACAGAACTTTCCAAGGAAATCTGGAAACTTAAAGACGCGGGTAACATGCCTATAAATAAGTGGAACATAATTAAAAGATGCCAATCTTTTAACCCATCTACAAAAAAGTGTAACCTTTGCATCAATGAAAAGTATTTTATTATGACTTTTGAAAGTTTTTTATAACGGTTTATATTTTTTATTTGAATAATATGGCTGATGATTGCCGAATGGCATGAAACTTTTACTTTCATTATAAAGTTGTATTTTTTTTCATTTAAATTATTTATATATATATATATATATATATATATATATATATATATATATATATATATATATATATTATATATATATATATATATATATATATATATATATATATATTCATCACATGTTGAGCAAACAACACTTATTTTACGTTACCTAATTTCCAAGGAATCGCGATATAAACTTGTGGATCGATTTTTGAAATTTATAGATTGTAGTAACAAAAATGGTTCTGAAATTGCTCAAATGATTACAAAAACGTCACAAAGTAATATTTTTCCACTGGCTTGTTGTAGGGCTCAAAGTTATAACAATGTGCCAAATATGTCAGGCGAATACAATGGAGCGCAACCTATAAAAAAAGAACTGTGTCCTACTGCTATGTTTTTTCTTTGTGCCTGCCACACATTTAACTTATGTGTTAATGATGATGTTGAATGTATTTCAGAATCCATAACCTACTTCGGAACTATGCAAATAATATACAGCTTACTCAGGTGTAGTGCGAAGAGGTGGGAAATATTATATAAGCGTATTGGTTGTTTCCTTCACGGCATATCTGGCCTCAGGTGGTTAGATCGAATAGAGAGTTAAAAACAATTTGGAGCTCATCTTCCAGGAGTAAAGCTGGTTTTTTTAGACTTGCTCTAGCTAAATCTGAATTCCAAGAACTAAAAATGAGATTCGTGTGGCACAGAATATTAATTCCAATTGACATTTGCAACAAAGTCATACAAGCCAGTAACGCGACTTTAGAGATGGAGGTTTCAAATATAAAAAGCTTACTTTTATAATTAGTAGCTATTCGTGACAGTTGGAAATCAATGTTGATCAATTTTTAATGTAATATTGGATAATGTTTATGTAGGACTTACAGTTCTTTTTAGCGCCATAAAACAGATCTCTTCAGAAACCTTCAACTTTTTTTGGAACTACCAAAAAATGACAGAGCTTTGTAAAGAAATTTCACTGTTGATTCGGTTAACAAAATATTAAGACTTTTCAAATGATGTTCTAGATGACTAATATGTACTTTTTTATTTACTTCATTTAATTTTATCTATGTACCTTGTGCTTATTTATATGTACATGATTTTTGAATTAAATACAGTAATAACAATATAATAAAAATAAATAATTAAATTTTATATTAAAATTTAACTTATTTTTCCGTAGCTACCAGATAAGGCATAAATGTATATATATGTATATGTATACATATATATATATGTATACATATACATATATATACATTTATGCCTTATCTGGTAGCTACGGAAAAATAAGTTAAATTTTAATATAAAATTTAATTATTTATTTTTATTATATTGTTATTACTGTATTTAATTCAAAAATCATGTACATATGTATATATATATATATATATATATATATATATATATATATATATATATATATATATATATATATATATATATATATATATATATATATATATATATATATATATATATATATATATATATATATATATATATATATACTCTCCAATCAATAATGATTGTAAAACTTTTACAATCATTATTGATTGATAAGGGAATAAGGGAATTGCTAAGCTTTTGCAATTGTTAATGATTATCTGATATAAGAATAAGCAATGACTTTCTTAAGGCAATTGACTTGGTAACTATTATTGCAATTGTGGTGCTTGAACTAATTAATTAAAAAATGAATTAAATACTCACCTCAAAATTAAAAAAATAATTTAACATAAAAACACACTTTATCAACCAGTCTACTGAAGTGATGCTAGCCTTCTTTTGAGGTCGGTATTTTAGTTTTGAAAAAGTTTATTATCTTTGTTTAATATAAGACTTATCAAAAATATTTAGTCAACTTCCGCGCTCGAAATAATTATTTAAAGGTTACCGATCATACTAATCGTCTGAAATGATAAGATTTGAAAGGTAGAGGATAAAATAATTTTCTGGACGATCAAGTTTTCTCTAACTTTTTATAAGCATAACTGTTTATGTAACACATAATTAGCACTTTTTGTGTTAGTCAACTTAAAGCACCTCAGCATAGTTTACGCTGATTTCCGATTTAAGGTTTACTAATTTGCCCTAATAAGGCAAATTAGTAAAACTTAAATCAAAAATTTTAACAAAATCCTATACTTTGACAATCTGTAACGTAGGATGAGATACTTCTGCTTGTGTTGAAAGAAAAAAATATGTATCTTTTTTTTTAAGGTTTATTCAGAATTTTAGATTTTTATAAAGTCTATATTTGAGATTCTTTAGGATTTCGCTCTTTTGCTTCATATTGTTAAAAAATTTAAAAACTCATTAATCTAAACATGATTATAGACCAAAAGAGTAAAAACTGTTATAAAGTGTCCAATCCAAATTATTTCTTAAAAACATGTTTTTAAAGTTTTAAGTTAAAGTACTTAAAAAAAAGGATAAATTGGTAGTTGCTGCTCTTTATTTTCTATTTCCTTCAAGGAATGCAAAAGTTCTAATGATTAAATGCAATAGTTTAAAATAATTCCGGCAGTAAGCAAAGTCTTAAATGGTTGTCCATTAATTACGTCAACAAAATAGGGGGGAGGGGGGTCTGAACTTTTTTGACAACTGTTGACAAAGGAGAGGGGGGAGGTCCATTAAAATTGATGTAAACAATTTTTTTTTTGATTTTCATTACTTAAATAACGAAAAATTAGGCTGAGTTTGTAGCGTAGCTTCTTTGTATAGGAGGGGGGTATCAAAAATTGACGTAATTTTATAGGGGGAGAGGTCTCTGGAAATTTGACAAGTTGTTGACAAGGGCGAGGAGTCAATGCCCCCCTTTCTTTACCAAAAATCTGTCATTAGTAGCCTGTCTTTATTGAGTCACTATCATAATGTCAAAATCTGGAGCACAAAATCGCAAAGAAAGACAGACAGAGATATTTTATGATAAATATTTAAAACATAAAGCATATAAAAATGAAATTAACTACAAAAACTATAAAAACTTATTTGAAAAAAAACAAAAAACACTCTAAAAAATTTATAAAGTTGTTGAAAAAAACCAACG